TTTTCAATTTCACTCATTGTAATTGGGGTGTTTATAATTTTTATATCTTGTTCATTTAACTTTGGCAATTCATATGTATCTGGGAATCTGTCCATTTTTTTCTGTGTTTTCCAGTTTATTATAGTACAGGTTCTCGAAGTAGGTATAGAGGACCCTCTGGATTTCTGCTGGATCTATTGTGACTTCATCTCTTTTGTTCTTAATTGAATGGATTTTAGCCTTTTTTTTCCTTTTTTTGATAAGGTTGGTTGAAGGTTTATCTATTTGATTTATTCTTTCGAAAAACCAACTCTTTGATTCACTGATTTTTTTTTTTTGTATCATTCTCTTAGTCTCCATTGCATTGATTTCCGCTCTGATCTTTCTAATTTCCTATCTTGTACGAGTTTTGGGTTTGTCATGCTCTTCTTTTTCTAGGAGCTTGAGGTTCTGCATTAGTTTGTTTATTTGAGCTTTCTCTGTTTTCCTAATACGGGCCTTCACTGCTATGAATTTCCCGCATAGAACTGCTTTCATTGTGTCCCATATGTTCCTGTATATTGTACTGGCATTATCATTTACTTGTAGAAACTGTCTAATTTCTACTTTAATTTCCTCTGTGACCCATTGGTTGTTCGGGAGGGTGTTACTCAATTTCCATGTGTTTGTGGGGTTTTGTGGTTTCTTATGCTATTGATCTCCAGTTTTATTGCACTATGGTCTGATAATATACAGGGGATAACTTCAATTCCTTTGCATTTTCTTAGACCATGTCCTGTGAGCTAGCATGTGGTGTATTTTGGAGAATGACCCATATGCAGTCATAGAGAATGTATATTCCGATTTTGTGAGGTGGAACTGTCCATTTGTTCAAAAGCTTGGTTCAGTTCTAGAATTTTGTTGTTAATTTTTTGTCTAGATGATCTGTCTATTTGTGACAGTGAGGTATTGAGGTTCCCCACTACAGTTGTATTAGTGCTTATTTGGTTTTTCATGTCCATTAATATTTGTTTTGTATAGTTGAGGGCATTCATATTTGGTGCATATATATTTATGATTGTCATCTCTTCCTCTTGGATTGTTTCCTTTACAAGGACCTTCTTCATCTCTCTTAATTTGTTATGGTTTGAAATCTACTTTGTCTGCAAATAAGATTGCTACCCTTGCTTTTTTTCCAGGTTCCTGTCGCCTGGAGAACTGTTTTCCATCCTTTTACTTTCAGTCTGTGAATTCCTTTTTGAATTAGGTGTGCTTCTTGTATACAGCATATTGTTGGGTTTTGCTTCTTAATTGATTCTGCCAGTCTGTTTCTTTTGATAGGTGAATTGAGGCCGTTAACATTTATGGTTATAATTGATAAATATTGACTCATCCTTGTCATGATGTTTTACTATTATGGGCTCTTTTATGTATTTTTCCCAATTTCCCTTTAGTTTCTTGCCTTGCCTGGTGGCTTTGCTCTGTTGGGCCTCTTGGAGTTGTGGCCTTTATTGTCTTTTTCTAGGATATTGCTTAGAATTGTTTGGAGTGCTGGTTTGGTGTTCATGAAATTTCTCAGGTGTTCTTTGTCATGGAAGTATCTAATTTCCCCATCAATCTACAGCAGTCTAGGTTGGAAGTTATTTTCTTTTAGGGCTTGAAATACTTCACTCCAGGCTCTCCTTGTCTTGAGGATTTGTGTTGAGAAGTCTGCTGTGATTCTGATGGGTTTTCCTTTGTATGTGATTTGTTTCTTTTCTCTGTTTGTAGGATTTTGTTCTGTTGGGCTTCTGGGATCTTGACTATTATATGTCTAGTTGTAGTTTTTTTTTATCATGGCTAGTTGGAGTTCTATATGCCTCACTTATCTGTACATCAAATTCTTTACCTCTGTTTGAGAAGTTTTCTAGTATTACTTCTGTGAACAGTTTTTTTGTTAATGTCGTTTGTACTTTCTCCTGCTTTTTCGTGGACTCCTATCAGTCTTCTGTTATTTTTCTTTGCATCATCTAGCAGCTGCTGGATTGATTTCTTGTGATCCCTTACTATTTTTAAGAAGTTTCTCTTTTCATGGTCACTAACTGCAATCCTATCTTCTATATCTGATATTCTAAATACACATTTGATCAGTCTGTTGTGAATACTTTCAGTGGAGTTTTTAATCTCCTGAATATCTGTTTGAATCTGTTTCATGGATTCCGTTTCTTTCCTTTGTTGGGCATTCATGATTTCCATTTCTTTCCTATGCTGGGCATTCATGGCTTCCAGCATCGTCCTGAGCTCATCTATTTTATCTGTTTCTGTTCTAGAGTCTCTAATCATATCTTTCATTCTGTTCACTATCTGTGTAGTTATCTGGGAAATTATTTCTGTTTTCAATTTTTCTGGAGCCTCATTCATCTGTTTTGTTACTTCCTGTGCTATCAGTTCAGGTTGTCCAGGTGGTTGATTATTATATTTTTCCACCTTGTTTCTCCCAGAATTTGCCCTTGGTGAGCTGTAAGTCTGGGTTTCTGTCTTGCTAAGGTGTCTTCTCATTTTTAATTTTGTTGTTGGTGCTGTTTTTTGCTTTACTTCCTCAGCTGATACTTCAGTATTTTTTACTGTGAGTATCTTTATTACTTTGGTTTAGAGCCCCTATGGAGTAATTGCTTCTTAGAGGTATCTTCCAGGTATAGGTGGACTTTTTAGGTTTTGAGTCTTTAATGACTCTTAGGCAAACTCGTTTTTCAGTATACCAGGGAGGACAACTGATTAGATCAATTATGGCACCTTAGCCCGGTTGACACAATCAGCATCAACAATAGCATCAAACACAGTTGAGAAAATGACAATTTGTGGTAGCAGCTAATCTGTCACCTTTGACCATGTGAGCTAGATCAAAATCTAGGGTCAGCCCAAAATATGTTTGTAGTAAATAAACCCTTCAATATGGCAAATTTACCCTTTGGGATAAGGATTTAGAAGGGGTTGGGGAGGAAGGGATAGAGAGATAGGAGAGGGAAAGGTTAGAGGTGAGCCTAGAAGACACAGGAAGACCACAGAAATTGTGGGGATCTGTTGAATACAGGAGGAAAAGACCAAGTGAAAGAACAGAGACAAGTACAGAACAAACTGAGCAATAGGGAAGCTAGAAATTGTCCTATAATAGTGACATTCGAGAGTGCAGAGAGAAACAATTCAAAATGGGACAGGAACAGGAACAAAGAGGGTGAGTAATACAGAGCCAGAAGGGAGAGAGAGGGAAAAAAAGAAAAGAAAAAAAGGTCTCCCTCAGGATATGTCTCTGCTATTCTGTTAGGCAATGTGGGCAGCAGTGTGCAGGTCTAAGTCAATTAGTCTCAGCAAGCCAGCTGTAGTCTACTGAGATTCATGCTGATTTCTGGCTCCAAGGGCCAAGTTGAGGTCCCTGACCTCCTGCAGGATTAAACTCTGCAAGGTTCTACTGCAGGTTCCAGCTGTCCTCCCCGCTAAGCAAGCCCAGGTTTCCATGGGCGGTACTGATCCCACCAACTTACCAATCATGGTGGTCCAAAGTGCCTTTATTGAAGATATTTTCTTCACTTTCCCAGTGGGCTTCAGTTTTCATTGAGGAGCGTCAGAGAGGCCATCTCTGTAGTTCACTTCTGCTCCATCTTCTGGGGCTCATAACCATGGCTTTATGGCCCTCACCGCGGCACCTCTGCTGTGTAGATTCAGGTGCCACCCGGCCCGTGCAACAGGTTCCAGGTCTGGCGGGGCCACTGCTCAAGTCTAAGTTCTTTAAACAGAGATCATTGAAAGTAATAAAGCAGTGTAACAGACTTAGTTGTGTGTTAATATAAATTAGCCTAAACCAGTGGTTCTCGGTGTGTCGTCCTAGGGTCTGCAGACTTAGAGATGCGAATTCCTGAGTCAGAAACTCAGGAGGTAGGTCCAGCACTTGAACAGGGCTTCCAAGAGATTCTATTCACACTTACTTCTGAGAACCACCAGCCTAAGCTAAAAGTGGTTTGTGGAATAGTTGAAAAGTCATGGGCTGAAGGACAGACAGACCTGGATTTGAATCTTACCTCTCTCATTTAAAAGGCCTATGAGGGGCTGGGGATTTAGCTTAGTGGTGCTGCTGCCTGCCTTGTAAGCACAAGGTCCCGAGTTTGATCCCCGGTACCCCCCAAAAAAAGAATTATTTGGGGCTGGGAATTTAGCTCAGTGGTTTCACCGCCTGCTGCACAAGTGCAAGAACCCAAGTTTGATCCCCGGTACCAATAAAAATAAAAATAAAAGACCTATGACTGCCAGTCTGTTAAATGTAAGTGTTGAGATTTTCACCTATAAAATGAAAATGACACTTTCCTGCATTGCTGTGAGGACTGACTGATATACTTTGAGTGCCTAGTACTCTAGTTAGTACACTGTAGGAAGTATGGTTACTACTGTCAGTATTTTTCCAGTATACTTATTACTTTTATTTAAGGAATGAAAGCATGCTTTTATTTTTGCTTTCAGATCCAAATGCTCAAGAAATTAAGGACATCTATGGACTGCGTGGTCAAATAGAACACAAAATAGCTTTTCTGAGAAGTCAGGTGCCAAAGGATGTGAAGCTTATCCTCATTGGCCATTCAGTAGGCAGCTACATGGTCCTTCAGATCTTGAAGCACGCCCCCGAGCTCCCAGTAAGTATGCCTGAGGAGGCAACTGTGGGTGCCTGATTATGCACGCGCACGAACACTCCTGGACTTTCCTCTGCTCTTTTGTCTCTTGTTTAACAGTTAAATAGAACAGAGTTCCCAGTGATGAATGTAAATGTGTTGTATACCTAAAATGTACCAATCAAGAATCTAAGAGGAAAAAAAGATAAATAGAACAGAGAAAGGGAGAGTTGGTGGCTGCCTTTATCCTTATCTATTTTAATGTGGCCTCTGTCAGTATATGTTCATGGAATTCCCATAATGTTTCAAAGAGTAGAAGAGGAAGACAGAAATTTCTGAAATGAATGCCTTTGAATCTAGGATTATCTGTAGTTCTACTGTTACAATTTAACTTGCTGTCTTTCATAAGGCAATATTTAAGAGCAGTTACCAGCTAAGACATGGATAAGAATCTTATCTTTATTGGGAGAGCATTTTGAAAATATGCCTCCTCTCTGAAGCAAAAAAAAAATATCATCAACATTGTTAATAGGCCAGCGTTATAGAACACTAAATCTTCAGTCTTGAGTCTGGCTCCTTATGTATTCTTGACTTGCCAGCCTTTTTGAGACACATTTGTTCATTCACATATACTTCTCTTTTTTTGGTACCAGGGATCGAATTTGGGACCTTGCGCTTATGAGGCAGGCAGCAGAACCACTGAGCTAAATCCCCAACCCCATATATACTTCTTAAGTGCTACTATGTGCTAGATATTAAGTGAGGCACTAAAGTAATAAAGATATATTTGAAGTGAGCTGCAAGAGACTTAAAAAGTTACACCTTAACCAGCAGTATACCATTGAAATGACCCACTGTATGGATGTGATTGACAAGATAATTTATTCATTCAACAAATGCGTATTAAGGACTACCATGTTTCAGGCACTGAACTGTTTTGAGGACATCCAGTGAATAAGATGGTCTTTAAGGTGGAATGTGATGAAAAAGAAAGACTGACCAGTAGTCGTGACAGCTGTCACCTGTGTAAGGACTGGGCATGTGGAAGTACGAAGGGGTGCTGTTTAGCCTAGTAATCCAGAGGCAGGAGAGGAAGAGACCCTTTGCATTGCCTCTGTGCTGGGATCTTGAGTTTTTCATTCCGCATGATACAGCATTTCCCCAGTAGGGTCTTGGAGCTCCTTGGGCATTTGCTTCTTTTCCTGCCAGCTTGACTCAGCACTCACCACAGCCCTCAGAAAAAACAGCTGTGGTCTTCTAGGCTAGGGATCTTAATTCCAAATGGAGGCTTTTAATTTTCTCTTGTTGGATATTAGAAAATGCATTTTTCACTTCTAAGTGAATTCAATAAACTCAAGATTGTGTTCCAGTTTGTATTATTGCTTCTACTCTGTTGGGCTTTTTTTTTTCCTTAGATAAGATAATTAAAAACAGAGTAGGCTTTGTTTTTGCTTTGGGCCTTTTATGTGGCTTCCGATATCCACTGTGCCCGTGAAATCTCTAGTACTGTGTTATATGATTACCACCTTCCAGTTTGCAGCCCTGCCTTTTAGTAGTTCCAAGTGCACAGTTCCTATGAGCCTTGGCTGTAGAGCCAGGACACCTAGATTCAAATACTCTGGTGACCTTGGACAAGTTAGTGAGTATCTCAGTTTCCTCATATGTAAAATGGCAATAATAATATGTTTAACATGTTTTTGTGAGGAATTTTATCAGGTATTAAGAATGGTACCAAATAAAGGTTCCAAGTACTGTATTATCTATTATTGTTGTTATGGAAATGACACTAGAATCATTGGCTTAGTCATTAGATTAACTACCTTAGTGGTTATGTACTGCTGTGTATCAAGTTGCCCCATAGCTTAGTAGAATAAACTGATATATATGTATGAAATGTGATCAAAATATGCAGTGAATGCTTAAATTTTAATTTATTACAGTAAAAGACACATTTGCCACTAATTTCCCTCAAAATACTCCCCCTCTGTTATGGCTTATATCTAGATGTCCTCCCAAAGCCTCATGCACTCATAGGTGAGGCTTTTTGGAGGTAGTTGGATCTAGAGTGTGTGGTACTGGGATTGGGGCACGTGATAACTAAATTGGTTTGACGTAGTTCTCAGTGTGACTAATAGAAGCCCCACCATGGGTGTGGGTGACACCAATCACTAGGGTTGTAGCCTGAATGGAATATAAAGGGACAGAAAGAAGGCAGGCTGCTGCTTGCTGTCTCCTGCCTCCTGCCTGCTCTGCCATGGACTGTTTCTCCTCTCTGGTGCCGCTCTGCTCTGCCTCCCTGCTTTAGAACCAGCCAACAATGGACTGGAACCCCTGCAAACTCTGAGCCAAGATAAACCTTTCCTCCTTCGGCTGGCAATACTTGTGGCTGTCAAGTATTTTGTTTCAGCAACAAGAAAACTAAGACACCCTTGTTTCAAACACACTTAAGCCATCATTCTGGCAACTTTTTAAAGCAATTCTGGAAGTCCTCTTTTGTGTCTTAACAAAGCATGATCAAAAACCTGGTGAACACTGCTTCTTAGTGCCACCCAATAGAAAGGCAAGCTCCAAAAAACATAGCGGTGCGTCCTCATCCACCTGACTCTCCAAATGTGGTACAGTGAGACTCCTGGCTCCTCCGTAAAGTCAGAAGGACCAAGAAAGGTAAACACTTTGAATTGAGTCAGGACATTGTGACAGATGCAACAGTGCAACTGAAGACGCAAAAGAGGACTTCCAGAACTGTTTCAGAAAGTGGCAAGGATGATTGGATAATTGTGTTCAAAGTAATGGGGAATACTTTGAAAGGAATTAATGACAATGTGTCTTTTACTGTAAAAATGTAAAAAGAAAAAGATTTAAACATTCACCATATTTTTTGAACACACCTCGTATTCTCTCAGTTTCTAGTGAGAAATTTAGCCACAGCTTAGCCGAGTCTTCTGCTGAAAGGTTTCTCACAGAATTATAATCAGCTTGCCTTTGGGTTTTGGTCTTACATGAAGACGTGAACTGAAATGGTCTGCGTCCAGGTTCACTCACCTGGGTGTTGGCAGGATTCAGTTCCTGAGAGTTGTTGGGTCTTCATTCATTCTTGACATTTGGGTGGACATCACACTGCTTCACATGGCAGCCTCTTGCTGGCTTCATCAGAGCAAACTGGCAAAGAGCCAGGGAGAGAGTCCACTGGCAAGGTGGAAGTTGCAGGCTATAACCTAGTTACAGATGTGACAGCACAGCATTTTTGCTGTTTGTTCTTGTTAGGATCAAGTCACTAGGTCTAGCCTGCATTGAAGGGCGGCAGTCACACAAAGGCGTGAATGCTAGGAGGTAGGAGCACTGGGCACCGTGTCAAAAGCTGTCTGTCCCTCCGCTCCAGAGCTGGGATTTCATCAGCATGAGGTACAGTCAACATGTGGATAGGAAAATGTATGTAAAATATTGAATTCATTTCCTGGAATAGACATGACTTCATCCTGTCAAAAAAATTTTAGTAAATTGATATCAAATAACAAGTTTTTGTTACTAGTTATTATTTTGCTTAAGTCATTTAAACATTAAAAGGGAACCTTGGATATATGAAGTAATAATAGCATTACTCTTCACTAAACATAAGGGAAAAATATTCCTGAGGTTATCACGTCTTAACTTAGTCACAGGTCTGCCCTTTTAGTTTTTGTTTGTTTACTTGAGGTCTATTCTGCATCCAGTACATGGTTTCTCTTACATATATTTGAAAACAGTTGTGTACCGCATTTGCTTTGAACCATTCTCTCTCTTTTGGTCTTCCATTGACAATGTCTGTTGAGAGAGAAGTACAGCACATCTTAAGGTTAATGAACCTTCTAACAGCTTCTTAAGCTTCATTTGTCATTACTGCATTGCTTTCAGGTGTTCCTGCCCTTGCAGGAATCACGGTGGAAGGGACTAGGAGTACAGCTCAGTGGTAGAGCATGTGCAAAGCATGTGTAAAGCTCTGAGTTCAATCCCCAGCACCAAAAAAAGGAAAGAAATGGGGGAGGGAAAAAGGAAAGAAAGGAGGGAGCTATGAAAGAAGAGAAGCAGAGGCTGGCCAAGCTGCAGGTGCAACACGGGGATCCTAATGATGTAGCACAACAGGAAGCAAAGCACAAGGAAGCAGAAATGAGAAACAGTATCTTAGCGCAAGTTCTGGATCAATCAGCCCCAGCCGGGTTAAGTAACTTAGCACTTGTAAAGCCTGAAAAAACGAAAGCAGTAGAGAATTACCTTATACAGATGGCAAAGTATGGACAGCTAAGTGGGAAGGTCTCAGAACAAGGTTTAATCGAAATCCTTGAAAAAGGAAGCCAACAAATAGAAAAGAAAACAAGAGTTAAGTTCAACAGAAGAAAAGTAATGGACTGATGAAGATGACGATTACTGAACTAAAAATGTTTAGAGACTGACACTTAATGGAACAGTTTTAGGGCAGAAGTTAAAATCTGTTTAAATGTTTACTTTGTTTTGTCTATATGCCTTTAAAAAAATAAACTTGTTATGCAAAAAAAGAAAGAAGAGAAGCAAGGATGGGAAGAAGGGCAAAGAATAGCAATGAAAAAGATGGAACACGAACTTAGTTTGTGGAGCTGCAACTCCTACGGTGACTACAGCTTTCAGAGAGACATGTAAAACTGTTTTATCTTCATAAAGAGAGTTTGCTGGAAAATAATACGTGCAGTAAATTGTCCATAAATGGTACCCTTTTGGGGGACAGCAAGAGGATAGGGCAACTGTATGTTTTTTTATTATTCAAAGCTTTTTCTGGTTTCAATTAACTATACTGTTGAATTCCCCCCTCCTCCCGACCCCACTAAACACCTGGGCCTGTTCACATTAGTGGTGTGATCCCTGCTGAAGTGTTGAAATTTCAATGTCTCTGGGCTACTCTAAGACAACACAAGCCTGCATGTCTGAAGTTAGCAGGACACGCTCCATTTGAGATGCATTTGACAATCAAGCAAATTTGTGTAAGCCAGAGTGTTGCAATTCCTAATTATTTTGCC